ATTTCTCCTATAATAAACTAAATTTTTTGAAAGGAGTACATTTGAGTCACTCCTACTTTTTCACATCATTGGACTCGCTGAATCTCCTAAAAGCAATGCCTGAAGAACACAGTTCAGCTCCAGAGCAAGCAGAGGAAATATTCGTAGCTTCAGCTCCCACCACTGGCAACAACACATGGACTTGCCCAGTATGGCTGCGAAACCCTGAACAAGTGCAGAATAACATAACATTGCAAGCAAATGCCGAAGATGGCTTGCCAATAAAGCACAATGCTGAAGCTCAGCTGAGGCCCAGCTTTGCCTCCAGAAGCTTTTGAAGAGTTTTAATCTATGCCTTCATCTAGGCAAGGAGTATTTCCACTTGCAGAGCCCTGTCGGTCTTCCAGAGGTTTCCTAAATTGATTTCCCTGCAGCAACTGCGTTTTAGAAACATCTTATCAGATTCTGGAAGAGCAACCACTTCTGAAGAAGCACTTTCCTCAGACCTTGGGAGGAAAACTTTCCAGCAGAGGGAGAGGCTTAGGAGGTAAGTCGATGAGACTCTGTAGTGCAAGGAATTGAGGCCGCTTACTGACATTTTTGTGCTGAGGGAATTTTTCTCCTGAATGTTAATCTCAGTTTGACTTTGACGGTTCTGAAGACAGGATGAGGATCAATTTTACGTAAGCAGGAATTCACTCTGGAATATGAGCTTGGTTCTGTTGCCTCTTTTTGACTCTACCTTTGGATTTTCTAATGTAAGCATGGTGTCTTTTAACCATTTGTTTTTGAGCTCAGGGAGGGACTTTGCAAGGGCTGCAGAAGGTGACCCATCCGTGATGTGCTTCTTCAAGGAAGAGGCGGCTTGGCTTCCTGTTCCTCTGTGAGTTGGGGGCTCCAGGTAGGAGGAGTTGGCCACCAGGTGCCACGGCCTCTGCGCTGGCAGGGGGAGATTCTTCTGGCCAGCCATTCTATCCATCAAAGTGTTTAAATTTGCTGCAGCAAGGCTGGCTTCAAGAATGTCTTCTGTAGGAGATACTGGAAGAGCCATCGCTTCCAGGGAAGGCAAATCCTGAGAACTCGGGTCTCCAGAAGAGGGAGAAGGCTCTCGGGGAGGGGAATCTCTGTAGGCCAAGCAACGCAAGCCTTTTTCCATGGGTTTATGGAATTCTGACTTCCATGTGTTGAGGGAGTTCTTCCTTCTCAACTTTAGTCTCCGTTTGGCTTTGGGGGTTTTGAACACTGGAGGGAGATCAATATTACTTAAGTGGTAATTGACTTTGAAGCTGTGCATGGTTCTGCTGCCTCTGTCTTTTTTGTCCTACGTTTTGCTATTTTTAAAATATTCATGTGTCAATCAGCCTTTCTTCTGGCTCAGAGAGAGACTTTGCATGGGCTGCAGCAGATGGCCTGCCCTCCTCTTCAGGGAGGAGGCGTCCCTGGCATTGTGCTCCTCTGTGAGTGGGGGCTCTGGGTAGAAGGCATTGGCCACCAGGTGCCAGGGCCTCTGGGCCACATGAAGCTCCTCCTGCTCCCTGGCTCCTGCTCTTCCCAGCTGGCTTTGCAGGGTGCCCTCCACCAGGGGCACACGTTCTCTTTCCTCCTGATTGTCTCACGCTGCTGCCTTTTCCTTAGGCCCTTTGGCCCCTTGATGGCTTTTTTCACTCTTTGTAATCTTTGCCTTGTGCTTGGGGTGGGCGCCAGGCTGATGTGCTGTGAGTGGGTACTTTATAACTTTCTTAGGAAGAATCGTCCTTTCCCTAACAGACTCTGCATCAGCAGGGCAGCTTTTATCTCTCTTTTAACCTCATCCATTTTTTCTTGAATGTTTCCTTTCCAGAAAGTGGATCTTTCTCAATTTCCTTTTGTAAGGATTTATAGATTAATCCCTTGACTTGCTTTTTAAGTAACCAAGGATCTATCTCCTTGTGGACTTGAAAAGAGCAGCTTAATGAATGATAGCAACACTGAGTCTTCTAGATTGCTCCCTGAGAATTAAGGCAGTGGTTACCTTAGTGCACTGATAACATCGCATTTCTCATTCAAGTCTAGCTGCTCATTTGTAGAGTCTGGAATATCAAGGTTGCATTTCTCTGAAGTGTCCATCTCTGGATCAATAATCAACTCTGTGCTGGTCTTCCACTTCCAGGCCTGCAACATCTCAGCAATGTCCCTTTGGGATTCCCCACAGATGCTTCTTCAACTGTCAGAAAGGAAGAGAATGCTTTTGTTAACAGGAAACTGACAGTCTTTGTACAATCATGTATTGCCAGCAGTTAAGTTAGGAGTCACCAATATACGGGTACCAAATAGGAAGAAAAATTAACCCAGACTTAAGCTTATGAAATGGCAGCAACACAAGAGAGGAAAAAGAGTGTCCTCAGAGGAGTCCCGAGTATGAAAAAGCAGTCGCTGTTTAGGTTTATTCCATTGGTTCCCTAGTGGCCAACCCCAAGACCTGACCCACTTGTCTACTGACAGGCACTGTATCCTACTCTGGCCTGGCCTGGCCTGCTCCCAACCATGGTCCTCACGCCCAGCAGCCGGGACTGCATCTTAATAGGGGAGTTCCCCTAGTTCCCCAGTCAGACCAACACTCAGTCCACGGATCTTGTGCACATTGGTGGGTGTTTGGTTCAGCCTGATTTGGCTCACTTCTGTTCCCAACATTAGCCAGCAGTTACTGCAGCCTTGCCATTCCAGCTCAAATCTATCTGGCTCTCACTGCTACAGTCCAGTCCTCACTGGCTAGCAGTTTTACAGCCCAGCCCTGCCTGAACCCCCAGACCCGGTTCTCATGCAAATCAATGAGTGCCACAACCTAGCCCAGCCTATCACACACCCACTCTGGCTCTCATGAATGCCACAGGTGCTGGAGCCTAGCCCACTCTGACACACCTCAGGCCAAGCCCACACACATGCTGAGGGACTTTGCAACTATGTTCAGCCTGGTCTACCCCCATTCCCAGTTCTTGCATTCAGAACTGTAGGCCAGCAGGGGTTTGGTGGGAATCTCCTTTGCTCCCCTACAACGCTTGCTCCCAGGGACAGATATTTACACATGCTGGTGGTTGCTCTGACCTAGCCTGGCCTGGCCTACCCCAATGCTGGCCATTGACATTGGAGGCTACAGCCTGGCCTGGCCCAGCCTTCCCTCAACCACCAGTGAGTGCTTACACTGTAGCCCTTCCCAGCCTGCCCCCATCCCTGGCTCTCATGCATATTGGTGGGTGTGACAGCCTAGCATGGCATGGCCTGTACCCCACCCTGACTCCTGTGCATGGCAGTGTGTTGTGGTTTGACCTGGCTTTGCATGTTCTGCCCCTTCAACCCAACCCACATGCCTTATGACAAATGGAGCAGACTTGCCTGGTCAGGCACACATCTAGCCCTGAATCTCATGCTCACAAGCAGGGGTACAGCCCGCTGGGGGAATTCCCCAAGTTCCCCCACCAGGCCCACTTCGACACCCAAATCTCATGTATGCTCATACTCAGCATAGTTTGCCCCCTAGTCCCCGCTTCTGTGGGTACTGGTGGATGTTGTTGTGTGGCACACCTTATATACCCAATTCTTGGGTGCATCTGCAGGTGCTATAGCCTGTCTTGCCCAGCCTGTTCCCAAACCCAGATTCCATATGTGTCAGTAAGTTCTGTTGTCATGCCTATCTCGGCCTGTTACTATCCCAGCCTTCAAGGAAACCAGTGGGTACTGTAGTCCCACATTGGTGAGCCCATAAATCTCCCACAGAATGTTTTCATGCTTAATTCTCTTGCATGTTGGTTAGTGTCATGGCCCAGCCTACCATGACCCAGTCCCTGTCTTGACACTCACCACTGGGTACCATGGTGTAGCCCTGCAAGGCAGGCCCCCAGCCATAGCCTTTGCGTACTAGTGGGTGGTGGTCTATGCCAACTAGCCCAGCTCAGGTCTCCCACTTGGGTGAGTTTGTTGGTCTGACTCTGAAAAAAAAAAAAAGAAAAAGAAATGCAGCCCTTAGTAGCCAAATGGGCCCAACTGGAAACCATTATGCTAAGGGAAATGAGCCAATCCCAAAAGGTTAGAGAACACATGTTTGCCTTAATTTAACATGAAATTATGTCAATCCAAAAAACGGTACTTGTAAACTGTAATATTATTTCAACCCCAAACAGCCTATATCTCATGCATTAAGATATTGTAACCAACGAACCAACAATCAATGTGAATCAGACAGCTTTTGATCTACATCAAAAATTGTAAATGCTAATATACTTTCAAAATCCTGTGCTCCTCAGAAATGGGGTGGGAGAGCAGAGAAATCTTCCATCTCCTTAGAATGTGTGAAGTATAACTTATCAGGAACATAACAGGTAACTTATGGACAACAGATTCAAATCAGCATTAAATAGTAAAACTACAAAGACATACAGGGGGAATCAAGAGCGATCCTAACAACCTCTTAACAGGAGGTCATATGCAGAGAGCAGGGCGGGGGTGGGGCCCAGAGTGGAGCAGGGGGACAGGAAGAGGCTTGTATCCCAACCCTGGAGACTCCCGGATCCTCACCAAGGATAATGAGTACGGGCACCAAGGACTACATCCCAACTGCCAAAGAGACCATGGGAAACTGGAGTGCCTTCGGAGGCTGAGAACTCTGAGGTCATCCACTGCCTTTTGGATCTACCACACGGAATGGAAGAAGCCCAAATCCTTCCTCGCAGGATCCAAGGTCTTCGGAACAACAGCCAGGAACCCTGAGCGGTCCTCAGAAAAAGAACAGTAAACTTCCTTTGGGACTAGGGAGAGGAGCTTTCTCTGGTCCTACTGAGCGGTCCTCAGAAAAAGAACAGTAAACTTCCTTTGGGACTAGGGAGAGGAGCTTTCTCTGGTCCTACTTAGTTCCAACTTTGGGTCCCCACCCTCTCTGCAATGACCAGCAGGGTCGCTCCAGAGCCCCCCCCCCACCCCCCAAATACACACACACACACACACACAAATTAGAATAGACAGGCAGAGAATAATAAGGAAAGCATAGAACCAGACAGGATATGGTCAGCATGGACTCACACATAGCTTACTAGGTAGGACACAAACATTAATTACTCCTCACTAAGGTATTGAAGATTTCTCTGCACACCCCTCCTAAAACTGTTCTGCACCTCAATTGTTGACATGACTTGTTAGAGTTATAACCCAGTTTAGACTATCCTAAAATCTGCCAAGTTCAGCAAAATTATGCTTCAACACTATAAACTGCTAAATACTAAAGGCACGAGACAGCTGAATAGTACCCTATAGCCATTTTAAGGTGTATAGCAGCCGGTTCTGTGTATAAACTAAAATTGAAGTGTCAATGAAGTAGTCACAGGATGTGGTTAAGAACTTGCATTTTTTAACATATTGGTTACTCAATACCATGTCAATTAATTCCATAATGTTGTAAATTGTTGTTGATGTTATGTTGTGGCTTTGAATTGATCAAGATGATATTCTGCCAGCTCTGCCTTCAGACCAGAGATAGTCTCCCCAAGAAACTATTGAATTTACCTGGACAATAAGATGCTGGACTCTATGCTTGGTATACTCTCGCAATGAAAGAATCTTGACTGAATTTGAAATGTAATACTGCAACAAGGTGAAGGAATCCACTATGGGGGGAGTGTACGGGGAGGGGTTGGGGGATTCCCAGAGCCTATGAAACTGTGTCACATAATGCAATGTAATTAATAAAAAAAATATGTTAAAAAATAAATTAAAACATTTGTTGAAAAAAATAAAAGGAAGAGAAGGAAAATTGACAAGGGAAAATTCAAATCGGGAAGTCATGAAATGTAGGTTGTGGATAGGAGGAAGGCCCAGCAAGATCTTGAGGAAAAGGCTACCATGACAGAAACAACACAGGAACTATGAGGAAGGGCAGTTCTTACAAGATAAAGTGTCATTGTATGTTCTGTGCGCTGGCACAGGCACTTGGTGGAGCTTCTGCCTTGGGCTAGACCGGTACATGACAACCTCTCCCCTCTGCAGGTACAGAGCTTGCAGGTGTTAGTACTTTCATTGTTTTCTTGTGCAGTTAAGGATTTTGGGGGTATCACTTAGAGCATACTGAGTTATGGTAAGTTTGGGGCCTGTAAGTTCAGGGTACTGAGTGTGAAGTGGAGCTGCAATCTTCAGGACTTTAGAAGGGTCAACCCGCACAGCAGTGACTAGAGTGAGTTGCATGCCAAAGCCAGAAGGCAGCAACTCCATCTAAGCCTCCTCTGTGGAGGGCAGGGACCGAATTCGTATTCGAGCCAGTATTTGCTGCTTTCCAGGAGCTTCAGCAGGAAGTTGGCTAGCAAGCAGGTATCCCAAGCAGCAGCTGAACCTATGGTGCCACAATGCCACCCCGAGTTCCTCATGAATTCTGCACACTAGATTCTCAACACATACATGAATGAATGCAAATCATTCATTCTGTGAGTTATATTTGCACTTTCTTGATAGCATCTTTGAAGCACAAATTTTCTCATCTTAAACAGGTCCCAATTTTAAATGTCATTTTAGAAGTAAGCAAATGACACAGCACATTAAGTTACCACCCAGAGCACCCACATCCATATCTGAGTGCCAGGTCATGCTCTGGTACCTCCACCTCTGATCCAACTTCCTGCAAGTCCTTGGCTCAAATCCTTGGGTCCCTCAACCCATGTGGGAGATCTGGAAGGAGCTCTAGGTTCCTGGCTGCAGTTTGTACCAGCCCTGGCTGTTAGGGGCATTTGCAGAATGAACCAGCAGATCCAAGATCTGTCTCTGTTGCTCTGCTTTTCAATGAACAAACATTAAAAATTATTTTACATACCAGAGTTATTAGTATATTACATATAAAGTACAATCCTTCCTTTAGCTCAGGGCATTAACTAGATATTAGATGCAGGGGCTATGTAAAGCTTATTCCAAGAGACTCATACATTTGGGGTCAATGTTGTGGCACAGTGCATTAAGCTGCTGCTTGTGAAGCCTGCTTTGGAACACAGGTTCAAGTCCCAGCTGCCCCATTTCCAATCCAGATTCTGTTAATATGCTTGGAAAAGTAGTGGATAATGGCCCAAAACATTTGTCCATGACACCATTTGGGAGATCTGGATAGAACTCTAGGTTCCTGGCTTCTATTTGGACCAGCTCTACCCATTGTGGCCTTTAGGGGAGTAAACCAGTGAATGGAAGCTCTCTATCACTTTGCCTTTTACATAAGTAAGTCTTGAAAGAAGCAAACAAGCAAACCAAGAAATCTGTGCCCTTGAGCAGTCAGTCCATGCAGCCCTTGCTGGAACATTGAGCCAGCTCAGGGCTCTGCTCCAACTCCAGAGGGGCAGAGGCTTAGGATGGGGAAGGGGCTTGGGTTGCATGGTTTGGGAGCCTTGGGCCTGCTTGAGTGGTGGGCACTGGATCCATTAGCCCCAGGGGTTGGGGGGGTTTGGCTTGGCCCAAGTCATCTGGCTCAAGTCCATGAGCCCATCTAGGAGAACTGGTCCTCCTCGGTGTAGAGAATGGAGTGCTGGATGGCAGACCATGGTACACATGGAGGACATGGTAGCTCATTAGGGCCTGCAAAGGACATCTGGTACCACAGCAGAGAATGGAGAACAGATCATATGGACAACTACCCCAGCCAACTGATGACAGCAAATATCTGGGCGAATGGAGATTATAAGGTTAACTGTGTCAGCCATTAGAAGGGTTTTCTCATCCATAGATCAGCAAGATTGGCAGCATCTCTGAACTATTTCATCCACCTGGGCAGAGCCTTCAGAGCATGCGCCACATTGTGACCTTGGGTTGATATCAGGTGGCCCTTCCCCATCCTTGGGTGCTGGGGTGGTAGGGAGGCTGAGTATGGCCTATCCCTTTATCTCTCCCCTCTCCCCAGAAACGGGAAGAAGAAATAAAAAGCTTGGAAACAATGATCCCACCCACTTCTCCCTAACTCTAGATCCTTCCCACTCTGACCGACTATGTAAATATCATCTAAAATAAAAGAAAATAATTAATAGTAATATTAAATGGCAGGGTTAGGATTTAAAAAAGAAAATCAGCTCAGCTCTGGCCATTGTGGCCACCTGGAGAATTAACTCTTGGATGGAAGATCTTTCTGTTTCTCCCTGTAGGTCAGACTTTCTGATAAAAATAAATCTTAAAAACAAGCAAACAAAAAAGGCATCACATCAACTTGACCCCACAGGACAGTAGGAGGCAGAGCATTTGCAAGAAACGCAAGAAACACAACAGCTCAGAGGGCCCCAGGACAGCAGCAATTCCAAGTGAACTTGATGACTCACATAGCAGAGCCAAGGCATCACAAAATCATGCAGGCCACAGTCGGGACACACCTTCCTTTGCAGGCAGCCAAAGCACCCTGCCTACTCACATCTGTCCTGGAGTCAGCAATCTGTTCAGTGACCTGAGCACTCACCAGGGGACAGGAAGGAATTTTGCGGCTCCTGTTGGAACTGGTTCTGTTGACCACCTGGGCAGCCCAGACACAATATACCATGGAATGGGATTTCCCTTCTGGCCCTCAAAACATTATCTGCTGACCCCAAGAACCAAACCAGAGAGATATAGTTTCAAGAACTTTGCAGGAAGGAGTACTTGGGAAATGCTACCAAAGGGTATTTTAAACATTACTGGTGACGTTTGGCAGGTGGGAAGTTGTTTCCATTATGTAGGAGACACCACAGGGTCTCCTTCCCCTGTCAGTTGTTTCTCTGTCCCAACAGCTGTCCTGTCACGACAGAGCAAGCTTCCCTGAGCATGTTCTCTAACTTCATTTGATGTTTTACAATAGCCCTGGGTGAGCAGGGGGACCATCACTGCTTCCCACAGGGGAAGGCTGGGGCTCAGTAGAAGCAGGCCTCAGGCAACATAGAATCCTACATTCTAACCCTATGCCTTTCACTGCATCATTCTGTCTTGGGTCCTTACTTGAAAAGTTGCAGGTTCTTCCAAAGGGCTCAGAAGCTCAATGTTATCACCAAGATGGAAGACCAGTAAAAAACGGGCTTACTGAGAGATGGCCAGCCCCGATCAGCCGTGCTTGGGTCCCCCAAGGTTCCCAGGTTTCAGAGCTCTCCTTTCCTAAATGTTCCAGCACACAGTCACAACATTAGGCCTTGTCTTTGTTGTTTGTCTTCATTATAACGCTCGTCTCTCTGCAAACAGCAAGTCCAATTTATAACTTCCAGACACCAAGGAAGAGAAGAAAGAATAGCTGAGATAAGATCTACATTCAAAGAGGAGATGAACACCCCTGGCTTCACAGTTCTCAAAACACTGATCCATCAGGAAATAGCAACCTCTTGGTGGAGAACTGTCAACTAACTCCCAAAGTCCTTTCCTCCACTGTCTAGTGCTGAACCCGACCAGCATGTATGAAAGTTACAAAGAGGGAGAGAGATCATCCATCCACCGGTT